AAAAAAACAACAAAATGCAAATAAATATGTTAATATATCATTCACATAGGATGCTAATTGTAAATTTATATAAACATAACCATTTGTTTCTTTAAATAATTTTCCAATACGTTTACATTCTTTATAACGCCAAATATATAGTACAACACTTGTCCATGAACAAACTATTATACCAATTTCAATGTAAGACCAACATCGTTGAAAATAATTCCATTTTAATTTTTTTAATAATCTAATTTCTATCCATATAAAATATAGAATCATTATCATATAAACAAATATACTAATCAATTGAAATGTCGATGTAAATGCTAAATTTAAGAGAAAGGGATATTATGTTATTGTTAATTATCAAAAGGAAATTACCATCAAAATTCATTGGTTCAAAACGAGCTGACGGATACATTCCACCTGTTGATAAAATTTCCATAAGAAAAATACCTGATGTAAATAATTGAGCATTTGGATTATATAAACTTAATTCAATAATTACAGCTCGTGTTTGATTATCGATCCATCCTAATGTGTGAAGTTGAGATAAATTACTTTGAAGATCAGATAAACGACCTCGAAATTCATAAATATAACCACTGCCAGGATAACTTCCATGATCACCAACATAAGTATATGTATCTAAATCTTTACTTGATTGGTATTGAAATGATTGACTAATGGATAAACTATACGTTTCTATAGTTTCATTTAACCATCCTGGTTGATAGGACTGTTTATCTTCATTTGATGAACTATAATCATATTGACATGATTGAGATTTAAGACGTAATTGTCTCATTGTTACCCAACCAATTAATCGATTAGATTTATCATTAATATAACCACTTAAATTTCGAGCTGCATCACCATTGTACCATTGTTGAGCATGAATATTTTCAACAAAACTATTTTCTAACCAATTCCAATATTGATTTATTGTTGAAATCTATAAACATTCATTATGATAAAAGAAACATTTTTATAAGAAAACAAACCTTCTTATAATCAGAATTCAAAAAATATTTTCGTAAATGATTAACTTGAAGAAATGCATTTGGATGATGATTCGAATATGTTACAATACAAAGAAGTGATAAGAAACATATATATATAAATATTTCGCGTAGAATTGACCACATATAAACTTCTTTCAAACGTCGATCACGTGCAGAAATAATTTCATCTTGATTTAAACGATTGGCACGTACTGGTGATCGATAAATAAATAAAAATTTATTCTTAATCGAATGAAGATATTCTTCATCTTCGTCTAAAGCAAATTGATCATCATTCAAATATTCATTTGCTTCTTTATCATCATTTGGTTTACGACAGAAAAAAGCAAAAAATATTGCTAAACTTATAATCTTCAATGGTTGTGTCAAAAAAATAGATGAGAAAAATCCACTTAAAATTGATATTAACCATTTTTGAGTTTTATCATCACCAAATTCAATACCACGAGCAATTATAAAAATAATTGAAAGTCCAGCAAATAATATACAAAGACCATATGCAATAAATATACACCACCATGGAAATGTTCTTCTTAATTTTTGTTTATTTTCGTTCTTACTGAAAAATAAAAGAAAATCAAAAAAAATTCTCTTCATTTTAATTCTACAAACATTTCTAAATTTGATTTCATTAAATACAAAGCTTGACGTAATGGAGATAGTTGTTGTCGACGAGATCTAAGACGTCGGAAGAGTTGAACAAGTAAAAGACTTGGAATCAATGCAAATACTTCAAC